GCTTATGGAGTGATGCATTAAGTATCACATACAGCAATATATTCAAACTTACCCCAGTAAATGAAAATGTATACAATATATTTATTCATCTCTTCCACTACAATCTATGAATCTATAAAAGTGGTATTCAGAACCAGGGCTGAAGTTATTGAGCATTACCAGTTCTATTATAAACTCCAAAACTCAGGTTTGTACCTAGGATGTAAACTATTGGGCTGAGTGTTATTTAAAATCTGATTCTTTCATAGATTTTTACTGAATAACAAAAGTCAGATCAACATTGCCAAACTCTTTTTTCAGGTGCTAAAGAATGAACCCTATCATGTAGGGGACCTCAATACAGAACTACCAAACCTTGAAAACAAAACACTACCATGACATTTTAGTCAGTAAGCAAGCTAAGAAATCTGAAAATACATCATCTCCTGGGTCTACGTGGTACTACTGTTGTATCCAAAACTTGTTTCAATACAGAAGTGAAGGTAAAATGTAGTATTTAGAGTCCAAATAACTCTTAAATTTTGTTTGAACAGCTGGCTTTGCTGACATCTACTTTGTAGAAAGTAGGTGTTAACACGGAACCAGAGAATCCATGTTGCAGACTTTAATATTTCTTATCATTGAGGTCATGCTACTGTTTCCAAGCATGTCATCAAGACCAGTCACTGGCTTTTAGCATTATATACAAGCCTGTTCCAAAAAGCTAAGTTTAGTTATTTAACTGCTTTCAGTCTAAATTTTGAATTTAAAAATAATTCCTCTGAAGTTGCATCAGATCACTGGATCTCTTTTTATCTATAGCAGACAACATCCTCTCAGAAAAGGTTACTCTTTTCCCCCCTCAGCCCTTCAGTAATTCCTTTATTTATAGAGGTTAACTCAATGATTTGCTTAGCTAAAATATTTCAGAACATGACAATAACTCAAGGTATTTCTAAAGGTGCCAGTCAGTAGGACAAAGGAGACTGAGAGAACAATGCAGATTTTTATGGGTTAGAAATGTTTGGTTTTGACAGTTATACGCAGCATTATGTTCCTGATTAGAATGAAGTGCTCCTCGTCAGAAGTTGCTCCACAAAGTATTCATTATCAATAAGCAGGTGTGGAATAGTGTTGCTACAGTTATTAGTCAGTGCAGCAGTGGAATCTGTGGGCCTACAATACACAGCTGAAGGGTGAAATGAGAAGTGTTAATAACCCTTCAAACCTTTTTCTCCATTCATTCTGCACAATACATTTAGAATACACTACACAGATTTTAAAGTGCATACTACAGGTTGACATCCTCAAAATTATGTCCAGGAAGCTTATGCAGTATAAAGAGCATGTTGTTACCTTATACTAGTCAATCATACTTCAGTTTATAGCAGAGGTGGTCCAACGTCTAAACTGCTGGGGACTGCATGTTGGGGGAAGGGGGGCTGCAGGCCCCAGGCTGCATACCACTCATGCAGGTGCTCACTGTTCTACCTTCCCCTTCCTCTGTTGCACCATGAGCAGCACCATCCCTCACTTTCAACTGCCCAGCTGCAGGCTCTTATACCACATGGGCACTTGGAGGCATAGGTTGACCCACCTGTCCTGTCCCTAGGGGTGGTGCCATGCAGAATCCAGAGAAGGGTGGAGTCCTGAAACTCCAGCTTCTGCTGCAGCCGCCAGAGGGAGAAGGGCAGCAGTAGCTGGGTGGGAGCCTGGAGGTTGTCAGTGGGACAGCCCTGGCTTGTAACTTCAGATTTTCAGATATCCTGCAGTTCAAGAAGAATCCATCATTCCATTACTGGATTTAAAGCTTTATTTATAGAAACAGTGGACTGCATTAATAGCAGCAATATTTGCATTGTATTAAATTCAGCACTAATTATAGGTTAATATTTACATGAAGATAACATTTAAACCAGGTCGCTAAGTACAGTGGCAAGTTTTAGAGTAGATAGGTGACAGACACGTACAAAACATATTTGACAGACTTAATAGTAAAAATATCACAATTTTTTTCAGTCATATGACTCCGGTTGATTTTTAGTCCAATGAAGATCTAGAATTTCTTAATCTGACTGGCTGGAAGATTGGATTTGTCCAAGTCATCAAAATATGGATGATTCAAGGCTATTTTGCCAGAAATTCTTTTTGCAGGATCATAAATCAACATTTTCTAGGAGGAAAAATAATAAAACAGGTTAGCTACTTATGGCCTGTAACTGAACTTAAAGTTACTTGTTACAACTGGTACAGGGATTCAACTGCCAACACTTTAACCGAAAAGCTGTGTTTCATGTTCTTCTGTTCCATGTCTTCTTTATTTGACTACCAAGCTTCAGCTTAAAACATTGATACTGAGAAAAACTCAAGAGAAGGGCAGCCTTTTAACACTTCAAGAGTTGATATAAATGCATTGTTTTCACCCCTATTTAGTAACAAGTCACTATGCTCAGCATACCAACTGTGTGGTTGTTAGGTGTTTTAAAATCAAGGATGTCAAACATATACCCCCTGGAGCAGTTTTATCCAGCCCACCAATAGTCTGAAAAGCTATTGGAAGTTCTGCTTGTTGCAGAATTTGGGATCCCTGGATCCCAAAGGATATGGCTAGCAGTGACAGGCCCCCATACCTACACAGCCACTTGCCCATGGCCCCATGTTGGCTCCTGAACACAGCCCCACCGTAGCTGCTGTTAGTTCCATGAATCCAGCCTGGGAGGAACTCCCGTGGGTAGGATCCAGTGCAGGGTGATTATGACACACCTCTTTAAATGTCATCACTTTTAAACAGCCCTAGACACCAAGTGGAAGCCTTTGCTTTTGTTCTATCACTGCAAATGGCAGAGTTACACTGCAATAGATTATAAAGCAGGGGTGTCAAACTCAGCCAGGTAAATGTCCCTGAGCCAGTTTTGAGGCTGGATCATCATTCCAGGTGCTGTGTCTAACCTGTAGTCTGTATGCAATGTGTACCAGCCACAAGGGCTGGCACAAGGTGCATACTGCCTGTAACATGTGGACTGGACCTGGCACTGCAGGCAGAACAGGTCCAAGATGCCACATGAAGCCCATATGCTGTGGCTGTGGGAGCATGTATCCCATGCTGGGTCTGCATGCAGAGAAAATCCCAAGACCTGTGTGTACTGCCAGTGGCTGGAACAGCTGTACACACTGCACATGGCATGTGTTCCATGCAGTGCCCCACTGATCAGTCTATGTGGTATATGCTGCTGGTCCAACCCCACAAGTTACAGCTGGTGCATGCTGCCTGCATGTTTGACACCCCTGTTATAAAGCCTATCACAAAACGTGGTCCCGCTAAGTGGTCCGTTGTGTTTTTTAGCTTTGTTCTTAAATGGATGCTAAATTGACAAGTTTGTCATAACTAGCTGCAGTCAAATGCCATCCCCAACACACATAAGAACAACTATTTAAATTCAAAATCCAATTTAGGCAAAGGTATGCAAGTAGGTAAGATACAAAGTGGTTAAAAGTGTGTTGCTGTTTTAAAATCTTAACACTGGGGGGAGGGGGGGGAAGGAGAGGGAGAAAAGGCATGAAGCATGTTTTGCATTAGTAAGAGAGTGAAAGGTTTCAGCACAGACGGTAAACTAAGCATCTTACTGGTCTCCCTGGGTGTAGTATTGAAAGAAAAGGAAATATTTTAGTGACCAAAAAAATGAAAAAAACCCCAAAAGGCTCTCTGGGTCAGACAAAACTAATAAGTTCTGGAAAAATTAGTTGTACAGAGTAAGCCCAGTATGCTCCCATCAGGCAGTATAGGAATGTCTAGAAGTGCAAAAATTCATAAAATGCAGTCAGAGTTGTACAGGTGAGGAACCAGAAAAGGAGGAAGCTCTGAAGTCGCCCTATGAGGTATTTTGCCAATCTATTGTAAATCCCTACAAGATGGAAGCTTATTGCACATCTAGGCAGACAGTTGAATTTAAGATCTGAAATTAAACAACTGAGGTCTTGTGATGTCTCAAACTTGATATAGTTGCACATTCCTGGAAACCCATAGAAGCTGTAAACATCGACTAGTTAAGCTTAATTTTATTCTGTAAATGTCAGTCTTATGACTAAAAAAAGCCTTTCTAGGAAACGGTTCTTTCCTCCTTGTTTTGCTAGATTCATTTCCCAGAGATATGCATACATCTTTTAGTTTAAATGCCCATTAAACTCCTTCATTCACAGTAGCTCACTTGTGGACCAAGAGCAATGCCTTCAGGAAGAGTGATAAATGAACCAATTATTAAAGGGTTAAAACTTCTAGGAAGCTTTTACAGGTCTGTGCCAGTGGTTCATAATCTTTTCAGAATCACAGCACTCCTCTACCACTTATTTGAATTTAGCAGCACCCCCACTTGGGAACTACTGCCAGTGTTGCCTCAGCTTACTTCAGTGATTCTCGACCAGGTTACCACCTCCAGGTAAGATGACCTCATGTGCCTGCTGCACAGACAACCCAGGCAGGGATATGACATGGCCACACACTCCTCCTGCATTACGGCAGACAGGGCTGGCTCCAGCTGTGGCTCTTCCTAATCTGGCCACTCCCTCTACACTCCTCCCAGAAAGAGGCATGTGGGCAGAACTGTCCCACATGCCTGTTTCCTGGAGGAGCATTGGGTAAATGAGGGGGGTGGCACAAGCTACAGCCCTGCACTCTTGTACCCTGGTTGAGAGCTATTAATCTATGCTGTTGCCTTGTTCTTACCAATATGAGGTCATGTCTGCTTTGAAAACAAATTAATTTAACTTAACCCTTTGATATGGTTAACTTGATCAAAAACAGCTTTTTGATTAGATTCCTAAATGTTTTAGTTATCATATTTCACAGTGTATCGGTCAACCATAGAATCATAGAAAGTTAGGGTTGGAAGGGACCTCAGGAGGTCATCTAGTCCAACCCCTGCTCAAAGCAGGACCACCACAACCAGATCATCCCAGCCAAAGCTTTGTCTAGCCAGGTTTTGAAAACCCCCAAGGATGGAGATTCCACCACCTCTCTGGGTAACATGTTCCAGTGTTTCACTATCCTCCTAGCAAGAAAATTCGTCCTAATATCTAACCTAAACTTCCCTTGCTGCAGCTTGAGACTGTTGCTCCTTGTTCTGCTATCTGCCACCACTGAGAACAGTCTAGCTCCATCCTCTTTCGAACTCTCCTTCACGTAATTCAAGGCTGCTATTAAATCTCCTCTCAGTCTCCTCTTCTATAGACTATATAAGCCCAGTTCCCCCAGGCCCCTCACCATTTTTGTTGCCCTCCACTGGAGTCTCTCCAATTTGTCCACATCCTTTCTGTAGTGGGGGGCCCAAAACTGAATACAGTACTCCAGATGTGGCCTCACCAGTACTGAATAGAGGGGAATAATCACTTCCCTTGACCTACTGGCAACACACCTACCAATGCATCTCAGTATATCATTAGCCTTCTCAGTAACTAGGGCACACCACTGACTCATATTTAGCTTATTACCCACTGTAACCCACAGGTCCTTTTCTGCAGAGCTGCTGTGCAGCCAGTCAGCCTCCAGTCTGTACTGGTGCATGGGACTGTTCTGCCCTAAGTGCAGGATTTTGCACTTGTCCTCATTGAACCTCATGAGATTTCTTTCGGCCCAATCCTCCAATTTGTCTAGGTCACTCTCAATCCTAGCCTTACTCCCCAGCATATCTACTACTCCCTGGTTTTCTAGTGCGAGAAGTTAGGATTTTCATAGGCACAATGGAGAAGTTGGGGCCAGGCTCAGTCCTTGGCTGGCACAGCCCCATTCCCTGCAAGCAGCGCTGCCTGGGCCACACCAGCCAAGCCTGGCCCCATCCCCTGTGAGCGGTGCATCCCCAGCTGAGCACCAAGCCCATCCCCATCCCCTGCAAGCAGTGCCAGGCTCAGTGCTCAGCTGGCACAGCCCCAGCCCCAGCGAGTGGTGCTGGGCTCACAAGGGATGGGGCTGCATCAGCCAAACACCAAGCCTGGCCCTGTCAGCTGCAAGTGGCACTGCCAAGCCCAAACACTTGCAGCAGCCAGGGCCAGGCTCCGTGCTCAGCAACACAGCCTGATCCCGTGAGCAACATGGGCTCAGCACTTGGCTGGTATGGCCCAGGTGTCAGCTGAGCGCTGAGCCCAGCACCACTCACAGGGGGTAGGGACAAAGCCAGACTCAGTGCTCAGCTGGCATGGCCCCATCCCCAAGCCCAGCCCCATTTCTGTCCTCTGTGAGCGGTGCTGCCTGGATCGTGCCAGCCAAGCACCGAGCCCAATGCTGCTCACAGAGGACAGTGATATGGTGTATAAGTCAAGGTTGAATTTTAAGAGTTAAAAATCAGGCTTCACACCTCAACTTATACACTGTGAAATACAGTATTTCATACATTAGCATAATCTTTTTCTTTCTGTTGGTAAAGTTGCATATGGTCAGGGGAATAAAAAAAGTTTTGCCTTCAAAACCTTGCTTAATGGGCTTTATTTTGTTAGACAGTTATATTCAATAGTTCCGAGTGCCAAAAACCCTGCAAAAATTAGTCAATTAGACTGTTGATTCATCTCTGAAATAAGCAATGCACTGTTAAGTTCTCAATTAGGTAGACTTTGTACCTTTAATACAATCCCCTGGACATTTGCAGTAACAAAGGCATACCCACCAAATGAGATAGGTCGAGTCTACAGTTAATATTAACAGCTGAACTGAGACCAGTAGAATATGCATGACAGAATAAGTAATGGCTTTACCCATAGGCAACACAGGAATGGTAAATGGTTAATACTGTTTGGGCAAACCATTTATATTGGGTAAATTATTCAATTTTTTTAAGTAGTTAGGACTATAGCTTCAAACCATACCTTTTAAAATTTACGGTGAGGGTATGATAGTGATGAAAAGCCTCATTTTGGACAAGGATTATGTACAGTAAGCAGTACCATTTAATCCCATGTAAAAAAGGTCCTGTACTTTTGCCATCTGAGGTAAGCTTAAAGGCAGACACATGCAACCTTTTACAAGCAGATTGTGTATGCATGCATGCAGTACAAGTCATTTTAAGTCATGCATGCAGTACAACTTTTTTAGGTTCATTTGAGATGTTGCATTCTGAATTAGCAGCTTTCTTCTGCTTCTGTGCTAGGAGTTCAACATACTCAAAAATGGGCCTTGCAGGCCAACAGTTGAACAGCCCTTGTATAAGTCCTAGAGAGTGCCTTTGAAATGTAAAACTCTTAATTTGCATGTGCTGGACTCCTATCACAGAAGCAGAAAAAAGCTGCTAACTAGCAGCAGTGAGGTATCTGAGTTTTCTCAAATTCTCACATACAGAAGCCTGTCTTACACCCCTTATTATCTTTGTTGCCTTTCTCCATACTTTTTTAGTTCTACTAGATCCTTTTTGAAGTGGAGGAGACCAGGACTACACACAGTATTCAAGGTGTGGGCATACCAGGGACTTGCACTGTGGTATAATGGAATATTTTGTTTTGTTTTAGATTCCCAATCCCAGTCCATTACTTTAAATCGCAAATTTGCTATCCGTCAAGGAAACTAAATGATTGAAAGATACAGGCTAGGTACAGCCTCCAAAAAGCCAAGGGCCTGCTATCATGACCCTTTATGTTAGTTTGCTCTGTGAGCACAGAGGCAGAAAGGGATCTTGGAGTCATTATTGACTCCAAGATGAACACGAGCTGCCAATGCCAGACCGCAGCCAGCAAAGCCAACTGCACTTTGTTGTGCATACAAAGATGCATCTCAAGCCAGTCCAGAGAGGTGATACTCCCCCTTTACGTGACATTGGTCCGGCCTCAATTGGAGTACTGCATCCAGTTCTGGGCACCGCACTTTAAGAAGGATGTGGCCTGCCTTGAGAGGGTTCAGAGGAGAACCACCCACTTGGTTCAAGGGCAACAGGGCAGGCCCTATGAGGAGGGGCTGAAGGACCTGAACCTGTTCAGCCTCAGCAAGCGGAGGCTGAGGGGGGATTTGGTGGCTGCCTACAAACTCGTTAGGGGAGATCAGCAGCAAATAGGAAGGGTCCTATTCCCCCCAGCAGCACCTGGGGTGATGAGGAACAATGGCTAGAAGCTGCTGGAGAATAGGTTCAGGTTAGAAATTAGGAGACACTATTTCACTGTCAGGGTAGCTAGGATCTGGAACCAACTTCCTAAGGAAGTGGTCCTCACTCCTACCTTGGGTAAATTCAAAGAGTTTGGATGAACACCTGTCTGGGGTCATGTGATCCAAGTGTGTGCTCCAACCAGTGGTGGGGGGTTAGACTAGATGATCTATTCAGGTCCCTTCTGACCCCTTACTATGAAACTATTCTATGAAACTATAGATATAACTGTAAAGGCAATAGGCTAAAGCTTGATTTTTTTGGAGTGTTTGTTATTTCAGAAGCCTGCTACATTTGACTTTCTACAGTCACACAGAAGAAAAAAAGGGACACTCACAGAAAGTAAGTCTAATCCATCTTCATCTAAGTTTTTCACATGAGATGCCAGACTGCCAGGTTTCCACTTGGGAAATGTGTTCTTATAATCCTGCAAGGATTCCACTTCCGGCCACACCTCGTTGTTGGGAGTCCCTAAAGCTCTACAAAAGAATAAACAGAGCTGATATATTGTATTTAAAAGCCCTGCAATACAATGTTACATTTTTAGATTTCAGGGTATTGCTTCATTTTGAGTTACCCTGCATTAACAAGCAAGAACTTAGTTGCAGATACCTGAAGATTCTGAAGAGCTGATCAATTTCAGAGTCCCCATGGAAGAGCGGTTTTTTAGTCGCCAGCTCAGCAAATATTGTGCCTATACTCCATATATCTACAGGCGTAGAGTAACGAGCAGATCCTAGCAACACCTCTGGAGATCTGTACCACAGTGTCACAACCTATTGCGCAAGTAAATTGTTATTAGCAAACTACAGTTGCATTAAATCCTCTAGATGGCTGTATAAGACATGTGGCTTTTCAGGCATGTGCTCTAATTTTCTTCCATACTGGATTAATTCTTCATTTGAAATAGTGATCGTTGCTATGTTTTAATGGGTAACATTTCTAGTTTTAAATTTACTTACAGATGAGTTGAATAAGTCTAGTTGTAACTTATCTGGAACAACGCTATTTGAAATAATTATGTTAATTCCCAAGAGGACAAGAAATGTTTTAGCTTCTAACCAAAACATGCAAACAAGCTGAAGTATTATTTCCTGGCAAAATAGATGCTCTCTCTATTTACTTTCATGAAATGAAATTCCATCATGGATGTCAATGGGAATTGTATATGGTATTATGTTTAGAATATCTCAAAGTAATGTTACATTCAACTTGAAATCTAGGTAATTTAGAAGTGCCACCTGTTCCCAAGATCCATCCCCGAACACCATTATGTGTAATTACTTTCCTTTATTTAGGAAAAGGACCTACCTGAACAAAAGAGAAATTATATAACTACGTAATTGCTCAATACAGAGCTGTCAAATACATAAAATTAAAATTTGAAAGTTGTCCCAGCACTAGTTCAATTCAGTAAGGGCTGCATTTTTAGATAAAGGATAGCAGCAGTTCTTAGTTGACACTAATTTGTTCATGAAGAAGACTGATTAAAAGTTAGTTACTAGAAAGAGTTGTGCCATTCATGAAAAGAACACTCAAATTCACTTACTTCATGTGTGTAGACCCGGACAGGAATTCCAAAGGCTCGGGCCAATCCAAAGTCTGCCAGTTTAATTACTCCTTTGTCATCTATTAACAAGTTCTGAGGCTTTAAGTCCCTGTGTAGAACCCTCCTCGAGTGACAAAATACAATGCCTTGCAAAATTTGGTACAAGTAACTCTACAGGAGAAGTAAAAAAAATAAAAAAATAGAATGACCTTTACTGCAAGCTAGTGTTCTTTATTGCAAGGCACTACTGTCTTGGAAGTATGGGTTGGATGAATGGATTATAAGGTGGATACAAAGCTGGCTGGATCAATGAATAGTGATCAATGACTCAATGTCTAGCTAGCAGCCAGTATCAAATGGAGTTCCCCAGGGGTTGGTCCTAGGGCTGGTTTTATTCAATATCTTCATTAATGATTGAGAACAGGGGTTCCCAACCTGTGGACTGGCACAGGAACAGGGACAGGGAGCACGGAGCCAGCTGCCTCCCCATGCAGGGTGGCCCTGCCCCCCAGCTTTAACTCTGCACAACACTGCTGGCAGCAGAAGCCGCTTGCCCGGGCAGACTGATGGGGATCTAAAACAGAGAGTTTGTGCCATGACCCGGCAGCCAACCCTTTGCAGCCCGGTGGTTGGGAACCTCTGATCAGGAAGACGGGATGGAATGCACCCTCAGCAAGTTCACGGATGACACCACGCTAGGGGGAGTAGTAGATATACTGGAGGGTAGGGCTAGGATTCAGAATGACCTAGAAAACAGGAGTATTAAGTCAAAAGAAATCTCATGAGGTTCAACAAGGACAAGTACAAAGTCTTAATCCCATGCACTGTTAAATGTTTGGGACCAACTACCTAAGCAGTGGCTCTGTGGAAAAGGACCTATGGGTTACAGTGGACAATAAACTGAAGATGAGCTAGCAGTGTGCCATTGTTGCCAAGAAGGCTAATGGTGTACTGGGCTAAATTAGTACATGTGTTGCCAGCAGGTCAAGGTAAGTGATTATTCTCCTCTGTTCAGCACTGGTGAGACCACATCTGGAGTACTGTGTCCAGTTTTGGGCCCATCACTACAGAACAGATGCAGACAAATTGGACAGCGTTCAGTGGAGGACAAAGAAAATGGCTGAGGCACATGGCTTCTAAGGAGAGGCTGAGGGAACTGGGCTTATTTAGTCTGGAAAAGAAGACTGAGAGGGGATTTGACAGCAGCCTTTAATTCTCTAAAGTGGGTTTCCAAAGAGGATGGAGTTGAACTAGTCTCTGTGGTGGCAGATGACAGAACAAGGAGCAATGATCTCAAGTTGCAGCACTCTCTCACTAGGAGAAGGGTAAAACACTAAAAGATTACCTAGAGAAGTGGTGGAATCTGCATCCTCGGAGGTTTCTAAGGCCCAGCTCAACAAAGCCCTAGCTGGAATGATGTAGTTAGGGATGGTCCTGCTTTGAGCAGGTGGTTGACCTAAATGACCTCCTGAGGTCCCTTCCAAGCCTAATTTTCTGATTCTTCCATTTAGCCCTAAAATGGACATACCATAGAAGTGGTATACTTATAGTAGTACTAATCTGACTTTAGTTCACTTAAACGATAACATGACTGACCTTATGAATGCAAAAAAAAATGTAGGCAGTTATCCCAATGAGAAGTCTCATTTTGTGTTGTTTTGAAATTCATCTTTAAATCTTCAGCTTTTATGAAAAGCTAAATATTTTAAAGAGGAATTTGATGACAAAGACAGTCAGATTTAAAGTTCAAAAGCATTGCTCTCATGTTAGAAATTTCTACCCCAATATTCATTCCACCACCCCGCTACCCCTTCCTAGTGGCAAAAGAAAAGATACTGCCAGTTTTACCTTTACAAGCATGGGATCCAGATACTGGCCAGTTGGAATAGAGTCCAAATATTTCTTGAGATCCATAGAAAGGAATTCAAAGATGAGGTACAGTCTTGAATCTTGCATAAGCACATCCTGAAGACTAAAATGAAGTATTTATGTTGAAACAAGTGAATAACAAAATACATTAACCCAATTTAAATGTCCCCTCACTTAATGTAGGTGCAAATGGATATTACTGCTCCAAGAGGGGGAAATGATAAACACTTCCAAGCCCTGAGTTAATTAAGCTTATCCAGTTTGTCTGCAATAGTGTCTAATATAGAATATATATGGAATGTTTAATGAACTTCACAATGCTAAGCCCACATGAAACAACCTACATCTCCTAGGGCAGAGGTTCCAAACCCCAGGGCTGCGGAGGGTTGGCTGCCGGACTGGAAGTCCAGAAGCGACCGGCATACTGCAGACCAGCAGCCAACCCTTTTTTATACTCAGTATACCTGCCAGTCTGCAGTTTCTTCGGTCTGTCGTCACTTCTGGTCCGCGGTCTAAAAGGTTGGGAACCACTGTCCCAGGGTGCATGTATACCTGCTCTGACACATTGATTAGAATGCACTGGAGCAGATTCAATTAATTGAGTCTAATTATAATGCTCCAGCATGCTGCAGTGTCTCATGTATTCAGCATCCTGTACTTCAACATGGGATCGGAGGCACTTTCACTAAAGCTTGTCCAACAAGCTTTAGTTCAAGTGCCCCCACCACCATTTTGAAACATAGGATACTGAATACACAAGATGCTGCAGCATTTTAATTAGAGCGGTTTGTGGCCCCCCCACTCCCGAACATGTATAGGCACCCTAAGCTAGAAGAAATACTGATCCAGATAAACCACAAAAAACTGGGAAGCTGAGAAATAAAACACATTCAAATAAAGGCAGTTCTTTCTTTAAAAAAAAAGATGAGAAAATAAGATAGTATTTATTTAACATGACTCTTGGACTTCCCCTGAACACAGTTCTTTCACAGGCATTAGAAAAGTGCTTAAGGAGCCCACTGCTTATACACAGATAGCAGATCTCTCCATTAAACTGGAAGCCCACACAGAGCTAAAGACAGGATTTGTACAATTCTTATGTTTTTTCCACCTATTAAAAAGTGGTTCATAATTGCAAGCCATGCACACCTTCAATTTCAACTAGTCAGCCTTTCTCCTCACTAAAAATCCACCTAGACTGAAACAGATCTAAAAACCAGAGTACTGTATGAGGTACTAAGTGAACATTTGACAACATATATATATTCTAGGTTCAAGCAATTCTACAAATTCACCATTATCCAGCAGCAAATATCTTGAAATCACAGCTCTTTAATTTGTACCAGCCATACAAGGGTCACAACAAACTTTAAACTACATTTTAATAAATGTCTGCTGTTGAAACAAAGCAACTTCTTTCAAAAGTTAAGACTCAATTACATCCTTATTGTTAGTCACTAAGATCAGATAAGGTGGTCCAAATCTTTCAGTGAAGATTATGTGGCTGATTGAAGAACAGCACCAGCTGCTTCCTTTATCAAGTCATATCTAATATTTTTCTCACTGTAAGCTGCTGTACAGATTCCAGAGTGACAAGTGAAAGATCTATGATCTCCTAACTGGTAGGTAGAGGAGGGAATAGGACTAAGGAGAAAGAGTAAGAAAAGGATGTGCAGAGAAAGGCACGATCTGTAATTTTAGGAACCTGAACCTCATGACAACTAATCTGAAGCAAAGGTAAAACCCACTCACTTCATCATAGTGCTTAGTAATTGATGGGAGTGTGCAAACTCTTCAACAGAAAGCAAAATGCCAGAATACTGCTTGCATACCATACCAGACTATGTTGGGATGATGCAGCTCTTTTAATAAGGAAATTTCTCGGATTGCTGTACTGGGAACTCCTTCCTCCTCACTTTCTAGTCGAATTTTCTTCATGGCAACCACCTGGCCTGTGGCTTTATGTCGGCCTTTATATACAACGCCATAGGTACCTGACAAAAATGTGACATACAAAAAATAGCTTTGCAAAGATTTAGGTAAAAAACAAGGTCACCATAATTTCAAGTGAAATAAGGCTGTTGCATTGTGGTGATTCTCTACAGAACCAGATATTACAATCTAAATATTTTTTGCCTGACTCCAAGCTATATGCACTGGTAAACACTAAGGCAAAAACAGATACAAATTTTAGGATTACCTCTGTAACTCAAGCCACAGAGCAGATCAGAATATTGCGGATGCTAGTTTTATTTTAAGTCAGGATTGCTGGACTTTTGCTCGGGACAGCTTTCTTTGATTAAAATGAAAGTTCTGAGTTAAGGAATCCTGCCAAAAAGTATGGTTTTCCTAGTACTTTTTATTGAAGTGTTTTGTTCTCAACTTTTAACTCTCTTTATTCTTGATATGCAACAAAAGTAAGAGTTCCTTAACTAGGATACAACTCATTTACAGTTACTGTCACATGTCTATGCAGTTTCAAGAAACTTGGGATCAGTAATGGAATGGCTTACAATATCACTCCTTTATTCTTGCACTTTAGCCCTCAAATAAAAATTCAGAAAGGATGTCACAACTGCTTTTACAGCACAATCTATAGGACAAAACCATGGTTTCCAACTGCTTCTTGTACAAAAGCAGATCTATCTTTCCTCTTCTTTCCCTCCTAAGTGCTAGTAAAGGGTTATATACACATGTACCAGTGACCATCAACATCAAGGAAGCTGCTCACTATGCTATATCAGTGATTTCCAATCAGAATGTCACCGTATTTTGATGGGCCATGAGATCCTGTTACTGGTTCCTGCCGCATAACACCTACGCATGATTCACAAGATAAACCGAGATTTCAAATAAAAATCCATAGTGTCAAAAACATCCTTGCAGCAGAATTGCTCTATTGTTTTTCTATAATCATGAAACAGGTGAAAACCAAGAACTGGCATTTTCCAAGGTGTGCCTTGAATCTAAAAAGGGTGAGAGCCACTGCCCTTTACATTTTCATGTGGCTCCCAATGCCACGAAATCAAGAGCTATTTTGAAAACATATTCACGGGACTAGACGGACATACTCAATTAGTAAGTGCATTAGAGCATAGCAGCAGCTACTGCCAAACAAGCTTCCTTTGGGGTTGAAAAAGTTTGCATCCAAATACACAACAACGTAAAGGATCATACATCCCATGTTACCCACCTTCACCAATCTTCTCTATTTTTGTGTAGTTGTCCATTGCTTCTTAATGTGACCAGCCTTAAAAGAAGAAATAATTAGGAAGGAGCCAGAGAGCTGGGGGCAGGTCTCCAGGCCCCCGGGATTAGGGTAAAGCAGTAAGTTGGGTTCGGCGAGTTCCAAACGGGACTGGAGGGGTTGTGTCCACCATCAGCTAGGACCCGGTCCCGCACAGGAGGAAACTATTCCCACTGCTCACCCCGGCCAAGGCGGAAGGTGCCCATCCAGGCTTCCAGCCAGCCACAAACTGCTCTAGGCCTGCAAGGAAGCTGCCCGCGGCCGTGCGGGGTCACGATTGCGGCTCTTTTCTCACCCACCCGCTAGTTTCTCAGGGGCGTTCTGCAGCTACCCTGCCGCGGCTGAGGGGGTGAGTCTAGCTGTACCACCCCCGGGTCTTGGCCCCGGGGCGGGGTGTCCGCAGGCCGCGCACGGGACGCCCGGCCTAGCTTTGCTGAGGCCGCAGGGGCCGGGCGAGGGGGGAAGCCGCTTCCCCAGATCGTCAAAGACCAGGCAGCGGAAGAGGTCGCGGCCGAGCCCGAGACACTACCCCCAGCCCAGTGGGTCCGTGTCAGGGCTGGAGGCAGCCACCTCCCCTCGATGCCCCCGCCGGGACTGTACCTGAGCGGCTGCCCCACGACCGCCGCTGCACAAAACCCAGAAGCGGCGCGCGCCTGTGCAGGGCTGATTCGAACTAACCGCGCGGCGCCGTCCCAGCCCAGCCAATAGAGTCGCGCCGAGGTATTCAAAGCGGCCAATCAGCGCGCGGCTCCGGGCCGGCGCCAAAGTTAAGCGGAAAGGCGGCCGCTCCTGAGATGTGCAGTCGGGCGCGGCAACCGGGAATGTTTTATCCGGTGTTCTACTGTTTCTCGCCTTGGGAACGTGGCGTGGGCAGGAGGATAAGTTAAGCCAATCTTCCTAGGTCTTTCAGCCTTCATTAAGCCTCCCTCCTTCCGGCTACCTCAGGGGAAGAGTCTTGAAAGCCTTTTCCCTTCTGGCATGAATGGGTTTTCCTGAGTATTTTGAGGAGGTATTATCAGCCTAGCTCGGATTTGTTGTTGCTCATGAGGGTGGTCAAGCAACTCCATGCCCTAGGTTGGGTAGAAATGGAGTAAAGGAATAAAATCTGTAGATGCTAGACATACTCCCCACCTTCCCCTGCTGCAACATAGCAGTCTGACCCCTCAAGCAGGAATCCTTTGTCCTTATAAAAACCTAATAATGTTGTCACCCTTTTGAAGGATGCTGTTATCTGGAAAGTACCTGCTGGCCTCCCACATCCCTGCCTTCCTTGAGGCCACTTAAGCTTGGTGGACAAAGCTGGGAAAACTGAGAGCCTTGGTTGGCATCACCATGGACGTCTGGGACAGTTGGAAATAAAATCAATACAGGTGCGTGGGGGGAGAAGGGGTGTTTTAATTAGAGTGGCTCCTGGACAGTTTCTGTAATTAAAATGCTGCATGTATTCTGCATCCCATGTTTCAAAATGGCCACGGGGGTGCTTAAACTAAAACTTAATTGATCAAGCTTTACTTAAAGCACTCCTGCTGCATTTTGAAACATGGGATGCTGAAATACACATGACAACGAGGCATGCTAGACCATTCTAATTGGAACTTTCCAACAGATTAGATTAATCAATTAATTAGAATGCGTCTAATTGGAACACATTGGAGCACATGTATAAGCAGGCATGTGGTGTCCCAAGCCTTAGGTTTTTCTTTAAGGTGCTGTCTGTGCACTTGTTTGAAGAACTACTGACCCTCACTTTTTTTTATTTAGAAGTGGTACCCAGACACTACAAGCAATGAGATGGGGTTCCCTGGGCAGCCATCTCCTGCTGTAGTACCAGTGTAGGGGGGAGTGCCAGGAGCACAGTTATACTCTAGCTAGTTTTGACTGTAGACTGGCCCTTATGGCTTCTAGTAAAGATGGGGCGAGATTGCAGGAAAGTATACAAGTGATTTAAAATTATCCTCAAATCCTGCCTTGGCTACTACCCTAATTATGAAGGTTATTAAACACTGGAACAAATTTACTGAGAGGCTGCGAAATCTCCATCCTTAGAAGTTCTCAAGATAAGGCTAGACAGACACTTGGATGAAATAGCTTATACAGATACGAGCCTGCCTTGAGCATAGGTTTGGACCAGGACCCTCCTGAGGTCCCTTCTAGCTCTATTTTTGTATGATTCTATAAAACTCTGTCAGATCTCAGGCTATCTAGCTTCGATTCTGAAGGACCCTCTTTTTCATTCCAGGATAGGTCATACAAAATCAAATAAGAGATAGGCATCTTACTTGATCTGAAACAAGAGTTTTTTATTTTGGCTACTGTGGTAGCACTATTGACCATCTCAAACATTCAGAAGATCCAGGATGTCAGATACCCCCAAGTAATAAGATTTGTGTAATAAGATTTTCTTATAATAACCTGGAGTAAGGAGCAGGGACTCAAAGGAAAACACCAAATATCATGCAAGAAGATAAAATCATGAAAGGTGGCAAACCACGAATAAAGTTGAAGAAGCAGGTTGGAACTCTTCCCCCTG